CCCCCTAACGTACCCCAACGTCCCCAGGGCATCCGCCATCATCGGGTACCTGCCGTTCGAGGTGCTGGGCACGTCAGGGTACGACTACTACCACGTCGACGACCTGCACCGCGTGGCTGAGTGCCACCGCTTCCGTGCGTCCTTATCTTTGTTATCTCTTATCTATGTTATCTTATTGCTGTTATCTTTGTTATCTTATTGTTGTTATCTTTGTTATCTTATCTTTGTTATCTCCTATCTTTGTTATCTCTCATCTTTGTCATCTTATCTTCGCTGTAGCTTATATCTTTGTTATCTTAGTTATCTTTGTTGTGTCTCTTATGTTGTTGTTATCTTAGTTGTCCTTGTTATCTGTTATCTTGTTATTTTAATTATCTTAGCTCACCTCTTTATCTCTTATTTTTGTTATCTTTGTTGTCTTAGCTGTCCTTGTTATCTTTTAACTTGTTGTTATCTTAGTTATCTTCTCGTTATCGCAGTTATCTTAACTGTCCTTGTTATCTTTTCGTTATCATTGTCATCTTAGCTGTCTTTGTTATCTCTTATCTTTGTTATCTTATATTCGTTGTTTCTCTTGTCTTGGTTATCTTTGTTGTATCTCTTATCTTTCGTTATCTTAGCTGTCCTTGTTATCTTATTTGTCCTTGCTATCTTAGTTATCTTAGCTGTCCTTGTTATCTTTTCGTTATCTAGTTATCATAGCCATATTTGTTTTCCTTTCGTTAATTTAGTTATCTTAGCTATCCTTGTTATTTTTTCGTTATCATGATTAAGGGGAGCGTCTCCCGAAAAATCGAAAATTTTCACTTTTTGGGTTTTTACACTTAGGTACCGAATACGCGCGCCCCACGATCGCCCCAAGCTCGACGGGTATTTCACAAGATTCTCTTTCGGCGCTTATTTCGCTCCGGCAACCGGAACATAAAGCGGACATAGAGCTTCTAATTTACACCGCAAAAAGAATTTGGGGCGACCCTGAGCCAGCGGCTGACAGGCATCCAAATTTTGATAGGGTACAGCTTCATTGAATAATCGGCCTAATTTTGGATACAATTGGATGTGATCGAGGACGATCCCAATATCCAACTGGAGGGGGGAGATGTCCCGTGATCTTCCATCACCACCTAGGTTATCATACGTCACCAGCTTAGCTTGTTCTGTACCCACATGGTAGAGTTACGCTCAGTGACGTCATTCCTGTTAAGGACTATATATAGCCCGGTCAGTGCACCGCCCGTCAGTTATAGCGGTATTGCCTAGCCGTCATCATGCTAGTCCCCTCCTCCGGCACGTACTTGTGCTGTACCTGTCAATCCCCATCCTTCTGTACTCACCGAGCCAGTTTATTATTATAATAGAACTAGTGTTACCGAGTGCTTCACTTGTCCTGCCTTAGTCCTACTTGGAACAATAAAGTACCCTGACTCTCAGTTACAAATCCATCAGGTGGTCATGCACAGAACCGACCACCTGACATTTTTTCCAATTTTTGTGTAAGAATTTCGCAAAAAATGTCTTTGCATTCCACAACATGACATAATCATATGGCTTCTATCTTAAAAGTTGGTTTGAGAGATCCTCATCAATAATAATTAGTTAAATTTGTGAATTATGAAAATGATTCACAATTTATTAGGTAACTACCACTATCCCGTAGCTAAAACTAAGTAGTTGCTGCGACAAGTGCTGGCTACAATGATCTTATAACTACAACCAGTAGCTATGCCAATTGTTATCTCAAACTAGTATGTATAAACTACCACCACTAGGTAACAGAGAGGTAGTTAGGAATAACCATCCAGTACCTAAGATTCACTAATTATGGTTGTACGGCATCAGTTAACTATCTCCAGTAAGTGGTAGTTTCTGTCATGCATGAGTAAGTCTTTGTCCAGATATTGATGCACTTTCTGTATATACGTGAGAAGAAAGTGTGTCACAATTCGGGTGTTAAGACCCAAACATTTTTCTTAGAATATTTTGATATATTACATCATACATTTTTTTAGTGCGTTCTATATCGCAGCCTTCCCGCTTATAAAAATAGAAAGAATATTTGGAGATATTATCGATGAAATGGTATACTTGTATGTTAAATACACGTCTAATATTTGAAGATATTCATTATCGTTATTTGGTTTTTGCAGTTATGACGACATCAAGGCAGAACTCGAAAAGTCTCCCCAGAATTACAACGAAAACTCCAATCAGAGCTCGATGAGTGACGACAAAACTGCGACAACCTTAAGTACTTCTCAGGTCAACGCCGCGTGTGGCGACTCCGACCTACGGAATCTTGGAAGCAATAGTAAAACCAGTTCTTACAATGTGGATTGTGGTAATAATGGCGAGCATGAAAAGTTAACTTACCAAAAGGAAAGGGTGGAAGATTGGACCCGAGATGATGGGCGTATGGGAGGAACGGAGAATCTCGCATCTGACCCCTTTGGATGCCATTTTGTGACCAATACCTGTTCTTCTTACTTTGAGGAGAGGTCTCTGCTCGCAGCGCAAGACAGGCAAGCTGCAGCTGAAATGGGCATCGTGGTCAAAGCGGAAACTGATATGATTAATCAAACCACCACCCCAAAAACTGAATCAAACGTGAGAGAGCAAATGGGTAACCCTGCTACACCTCATGACGTTACTTTCTTCTCAGAATACTCTGACAACATTCAACACCAAATGAAAAGCCAAAACAAAATCACCGAACGAGACTCGCAACAACTGCAACCACCTTACCAGGATACGACAATGAATAAAAGAACGTCGATGGAGCAATCCCTTTCATCGGCTGATAGAAATAAACCTTCTATCAGAGTGAACCGATGCCACCAACGGTGCTTAGGGGAACCTATGGAGTTTCAAAATAACCGACATCAGCAGCAGCAACACCAACAGCGTAAGCAGCAGCATCCACAACAACACCAGCAGAATGCACAGCAGCAACACCAACAGCAAGCAAGCAACGCTGTTTGTTCAAATCCTTATGGAAATAACTTCGGAAAAACGGAAAGTGATCCCATGCTCTTGAGCGGAAGTGTCGATCCTAATGACTCGAGTAACATATTCTCAGACATAAACTTTGCCAAAACTGATAACAACATCCCACCATTAACTTTTGAAGATCTCAATCCCATTGAATCAATTTCTTTTGACATCGGTGTTACTTCCTTGAACACGAACATCTTGGACCTTGAAAACAAAGAAGAAAACTTAATTTCAGGTGCCTTGGGCCTAGAAGTAAGCAGCGGGTACACAGCTCTTGATTTCGATGCTATCAAAACAGACGGGGAAACATTTCCCGATGCTTTCGGCGATTCTGGCAGCGACGATTTCCTAAAACTAGATATAGATTCCAATCAGTTCTCTCAACCGAGCGTGTTAATCGGTAACATTATGGGCAGAGGACCACGCATTGAAAGTAAGAACATTAAAAGTAACCTCTCTGGTGATGAATATGGAAACCAGCCGATACCAAACAAAAACGTGTCTCAAGACAAAAAGCTGTATGGAACTCTCGAGTCGTTGACGCCGGCCAACAAGACTTATCAAGAACAAGTACTCAACGTTTTCGCTGAAGATGAAACGTCGTCGAGTCAAAACGCCTCTAATGAAGGTGGCAGGGACATTCCCAGAAAATCCTGCAATCAGGGTGAAAATTCAAAACTAAGGAACCTACTTGAGAAAGACTTGAAAGAGCCAACAAAGGAAAACCTCAAAGACTCTTCAAACAAAAAAGATCTTTGTAATAAGAAAAGTAGGATCGATCATAGGGAGAACCATGCAGCGCAGCATTCAGAGTCTGTCAAACATCATCAGGCAGAGTCATCGTCGTGCAGGCAACAACTGTCAGATGTGCAAGAAACGATCAATTGGTTTCCAAACAAGCAGAATCAACAAATGCAGCCGCAGCAGAACCAACAGCAGCACCAGCAAGATCATCAGCCAACGCATCAGAACCTCCATCAACAGCAACAACGCCACCATCAGCAGCAGAACCCACAGCATCAACAACAGACCAACCAACAGCTAAAGACCCAACAACAGCAGCAGTCACAAATCGTGCAGTTTCAAGACCAGCATCACGACTCTGGACTTGACAATCCTGGTCAGTACACGGTGAAGTCCAACTCAAGCAGGCATGAACGACATGAGAAACTACTTCTAGAAGATGAATACCCGATCGTCAAAGAAGAAAATGATAGCAGCCAAGTAACTTCGGATAATAATCAGCGGGAATGCACACGCCACAACAACCCTGTTACAGGATTCCACCTTACTTCCTCGCAGCAACAACACCAGGAAGTAATTCTAAATTCAAAACAGCTAACAAAATTTGACTCCAAGCGAGGAGACAAACAGACAACTATACACGAAGGCAATGAAATGCCTGATCTTCGTTCCCACGAGCTACAAGAGTGGAGTAATAAACGCACTGGAGCTGGAAACTTTGTTCAGTGCAATCCACAAACCCTCGTTCATGAGGAACAATGTTGGTCAGATGCTTACCAGGGCAAGAAACCAACTAAAACAGAACTGGGATGGACACCTAAGCTTGCGGAAACAACAGCACCCTACACCAATAAGTCTGGGAAGCAAAGCCAACTGCAGTCTTTCCGTGAACACATTACTGTAGCTCGAAACAGCCGTGAAAATTCATACCAGCAACGACAGCAGGAACACATTCAAGCTCGATTCACGTATCAAGTACATGAAGATAGGAAATTTGAACCTCAAATAACGCTCCAAGAAAGCCAAAGGCGTGCCGAACAAAAGGGCATTGGAGATCTGATTGTTGAAAATCATCTCGACAGTAACACCTCGATTCATAGGCAAGTTGGAAGTGATCAAAGATTGAACTACACCTTATCCCACTATATTCCAGGTGTGTACAGCTTCCCTGAAACATGTGCTGTACCGCAAGAGGCTACACTGTGTTCTCCTTACAACGTGATGCATATGAGACCTACAGTTCTTGGAGGAGCTCCTTTCATTTCAAACGAAGTTCCCCAAACCCTTTCACGCGAGTACTACACGGCTTGTATTCCAGACCGTGCGATCGGCACTGGATTGCAGATACATAGTCAAAAAAGAACGATCTATTCCCAGCCCATAGCCCCTCTGCAAGGTTCCAACAGTGAGAGTACCATGATTGCCAATTATGGTGGCGATGAACAAGATTCAAGACAAAACGGAATGGACAAATGTACTACCAACCCTGTCGACCAACCTGATCATTTTCAGGTGGATGGTCGTAGCGTGACTCAACTCCCCAACACCTACCTTGACAAGAATATGAACCAATTCTCTCTCAACAAAGCAGTCGCAACAAATCAAGATAAAAAAGGTTACTACGCTAGTCTTACTTGGCAGTCATCCAATCAAAACGTAGCTCAGCAACTGGGTAAAAACTCAAATGTTGTGGATCTCTACACTCAGGCTCAGTTCCTAGTCAACCAGCGTCCATCCCAGAAAATGAACGCTACAATGAGTCGTAAAAACAACGTACAGGCTGACGCCAACCAAACATACCCTTCCGAGGCACAAGGTGTCGGACACCAGATGAACGACCAGTCACATAACTTCTCTCAGATGTCCATACATTCCCGGAATGATTCTAAGCATCATAAACGCTCGAAAGAGAAAGGTATAAGTTCAACTAGTGACTTCTTCCAGGGGTTAACCAATCCCATTGAGAACGTCCAACAGGAAAAATTTTCGAACAATCTACGCAACTTTAACGAGTTAACGCAGAGGCAAAATCAAGATGGATATCGACAGTCTAACACTGACAACTACTATCACTCCAAGGGCTCAAAACGGGAGCACAGAGAACAGGAAAAAAATATGTCTGAAAGGCTCCACAGTGGAACAGAAATGACTTTGCAATCGCATTCACATACTTCCAACTCTTCAGTAGCAAACGCAAGTGACAAGACAAAGTCGTCGGACAAATCAAAACATTCCCAGCAAGGATTTTCCAAACTCCAACAACTTGACTCTATTCTAAGTTCTTCCTCGCGTCATGTAACTTCTTCCACTTCGGATTCCAAGTGCTCATCCTTGGAGTTTTCCCTCGAAACTGAATTCGTGGGTGGGTCTAATCAACAGACGGATAGCCAAGCAGACACGCAATCAAGACCTAATCATCGAGATTACGGAGACCGACCAAAGACGTCAACCAACCTCGATACGAAAACGGACCAGAAACATGATTTGTCTGAACTTTTTGGCGAAGAAGAGTACGCATTGCCAAAGCATCTCCCTAGACTCTGGGTGTCCAACCGACAACGGCATCAAGGTAAATTTTTGCTATTTTCTGCATCACTATTCTATTGCCACGACGACAGAAAAATATGCTTTCTAAATTTGGGACTGTGACATCAGAATTTCTACTGTACCGATATTGAATAAAAAATAGAAATAGATGTCCATACGAAAAACACTTACACAGATATTTATTGACCGAAAAATGCATGGGATTAGCACTGGGGGTATCTAGAATAGGGAATAAATTGACGAAATATAGAGTCGTCATCGAAAAATTATTTCACTTTGTATTCCAGCTGATGCACACCGAAAGCACCGCACCAACAAGCAGAAGAAACGTACCAAGGATGACAAAGAAAGCTTCTCCGGTCATCACTCTAATAACCTGCAGCAGGAAAATTCGCCAAACAAAGAGCGACCGCCCTGTGAAGATGGACAGGAACGTCAAAACAGGACAGAGGGTAACGAGTTCTGCAAAAGGTTAGAGACATCCAAATCTTTCCGGTTCAAAAATTCGAGAGAGAACAACATGTCAGCCGGCGTCTCTTGTTCTGATTATTCAAAAAAGGATGAGTGTGAAAAAGCAGTTCAAGGCAGTTTTTCGCTGTCAACTTCAGTAAAGTTTCCAGACGCTCTTTCGTCGGACGACCAAATTAACAATGGATCCCAATGTGGGCAAGCTGGACGATCTACCGAAACAGGGGGAACCCAGTGTCATCTAGGTGGAGGTAACGTTGAGAGTTTGAGACCGAAGCAACAAATCTGTGAAAAGAAGATGTCGACAGAATCTAAAAACCAGTCTCTCAATGGTAACGAATTGCATCCACCGAAAAGCAGCGACATTACCGTTCAACAAGATGGAGTTGGGCGAATCACCTATTCTCAAGATGAACCCGAGATGAAAGACGTGACAATATGCGCCGGGTCTCAAAATTTTTCTACCATAAATTTTGAGGAGTACGAAATGATGCAAAAATGCAACACTTTTTCACCTAGCAAAGAGACACCAGGTCGAACAGAACTGCAACGAAAGTCTCCAACTGCATTCAGTACCGCCACTTTTGAAATCCAACCATCATTCACAAGGAAGGCGGGTGGAGTTGTCCAAAATTCAGAAACATCACCATGTGAATTAGAAACTTTTGTCAAGTGCGGTGATACACTCGATAGTTTTTTGAGGCATCGAAATAGAGTTGAAGAGAACCAGCAAAACTCATATCAATGCAATTACCAACCAGGAACGGATTCCACACTCAACGACATGCAGAAAGCCCGAAATCATCAGGTCCCAAACGTGGACCAAAAACCTGTGCTATGTTTGGCACAGGGGCAAATGGGTGGAGCTATTAACGCTTCTTGTTTTCGAAGAGCGACCATCGGCAACAGTTCCCTCAGGTTCGATTGTGTGGTCAAAGCATCGTCACAAGAAAGTATTCCTGAAAATGTTAATGCAAAAGTTTCACAGAAATATCGAATGCCGTTGGGTGGTCTCCAAGATCGTTTGTCAGCATCGCTCCCAGAAATACCGATTTCCACACAAACGGGGCTGCCAATTGCACGAATCTTCTGTGTCGCAGAGCGGGCTAATGAAAACTTGAATCCCGTATCGAAGAATTTAACTCAGCAAACTTTCTACACAACCCACGAGCAAGCGACTGCAACGCAGAACTCAAACAAACTTCCTGAAAATTCATATGGATGTTTCATCTCTCCAACTGAAAGAAAGCCTATTGGTACAGCTTTTTTTCATATGCCTTCTTCGCCGGCTATAACCCCTTCTCCAATGTCCCCGATGATTTATGGGGCACCGTCACCGATGGTCCAGTCGCCAACATCACCCATGGTTTACCCTCTGGCATCATCAGCTTACGCATATTCTCCAGTTTCTCCTAAAACTAGCTCAATGAGGTCTCTGCCGTCCCCTATGGTTCAGTCCCCGTTGCCTTACGTTCAGATAATTACCGCGGTGAGTGGGACTACACAGCCAATGTCTCCAATGGCACACAACTCGGCATCACACCCAAAAGCCTGCGCTTGTGGATACTGTAAAGCTACATGTTCTCCATCCCGATCTTCATCCGTGGGACAATCAATTAAGTCGTCTTATACCCGAAGGTTAAATTCAAACCAAGCCGTTGGGGTATCGACTCCAGTAACTGATTATGAGCACCAGAACAACTTTCAGAGACGCGTGGGTAGTTATTTCCACACTGCTAAGCTGAATCGAGGAGACGACCCTACTCTGCAGGTTGACACGGGTGGTGGTGGTGCTTTTGGGATTCAGCGGAATTCAATCACAAGTAATGACCAGAATAGAAGCCCATCGTTTGGACCCGGGATTAACATGCCTAGCCGTGAAATAAGAGAAGTGGTCATGTCACGCTCGAGTTCGTTTCCTTCGCCAAAACGGCTTCAACACATATCAGCTATGGCTTCCGAAGTGGCTTTGGATTCCACTCCTTCTGTTAACGCCAATTTGAATCCCGTAGGTCAGAATACCATTATAAAATCAGCAGTAGTTGGAAAACATCGTTGAAGAAGATTGATTTCAAGAAGACAACTCCATTATCAAATATTTTATTGCGTCCTAACTTCAATAATAATTTAAGTCATTTAATGTAACGTAAACTCAGAAAGATGAATAGGTCATACTGTCCAAATAATGACTCATTTTCTTACCCACGGTGCGAGCATCGGGCAACACTGTTACTCCATTCTATGAGCCAAAATGTTATCAGTTACTCTATCTTATTTTTTGTGGGTCTAGATGACCCAGACAGGCGCAAAAGAGTTTATCAAAATTTGGACAAATACTCACTAATTTCTTTCCCTGAAACATCCACAGAGACTTTGTGTAGTGGTAGCTTCACCGAAATGAAGTGAGATTTTCGTGGGTTCGAGCTTCGGGAAGCTCAGTAGTGCATTTCACGATGTCACTGTTGGGCGGTGCTTGGTAGCCGTCAATGAGTGGTGCATCAGCATGGTCTTGTGTTGGTACTCTCTAGGTACTTGTTACCTAGGGAGATATTAAATTCTTTAAATCCACCCCTGTTTATTAGTAAAACTTCTTCACTTCAGTTTCCACCGTTTTTATTCCTCTTAACTAGTGGAAAATGACGAAAATGTTTTGAATAACTTATTTGTGTTTGAACTTGAATGAACAATTGAAAAAAACTTTTTATTGTAGTTTATTTGTTTACTGGGAGCCACTTCGTTGGATTTAAATCATATTATACGATGAAATAAATTTATATTGTTCACGATGATATAAACGAGGTTTAGAGGCGTTGCGAAAAGAATAATATACCAATATATATTATTTAATCTACTATAGATACATTTAAAACATAGATATAAATAAGTAGATAAGAAAGTATTTTTATTAGTAGATATTAGATATAAATTTTATCGTACGACCAATTATGATGAATTACAATGTGATGTTGTCAGAATTTGGTATCCTGAAAGTGCTGTAGGAATTTGGTGTCTTGAATGTCCTGTAGGAATTTGGTGTCCTGAAAGTCCTCTAGGAATTTGGTGTCCTGAAAGTCCTGTAGGAATTTGGTGTCCTGAAAGTCCTGTAGGAATTTGGTGTCCTGTTTATTGCCCGGCCAGTTTAACCCTCTTAACCTGAAGATATAACCTGAAACTAACCACCCGCAACCCTCACGGCAACGTCCAGCTAACCTTGCAGGTTAGAATTCTGACTTCAAGTTAACAAAAAGTATAATTATAGGGCATTCGTCAATATTAACTACTAAGATTTGCTAGTAGTAATTATAATGATGATGAATATTAATACTTTTAATTATAATTATTAATGTGCTGAATGTGTAATGTGATGTACTGTGTGTTAACGTATCTTAATGAGGTAGCTGTTCGGGTACCAACAATCATGTACACTAGCTCCATGTTCACCCACTATATCAAAATATTATATTTAATCCAAAATTTTACCTCTAATCCAAAACTTTGCTCTTAAATCCCAAATTTTTTCCTCAATACCGAATTTTCCCCCTCTAATCCGAAATTTTTACTTACAATCCAAAATTTTACCCTCTAATCCGGAATTTTCATTCAAATCAAAATTTTTCCCTCTAATCTCAAAATTTTTCTTTTTAAACCCTAAAATTTGCCTTCAAAGCCAGTCTCACCTCGCAACTCTTTAGCGACTTGATACGAGGCCAGTAGCACGGTAAATATACGAGGCCAGTAGCACGGTAAGTAATGCCTCGTTATCTAATATATGTAGTGGCCGCCACTATATATAACGCAATCGTGAGTTCTTCAACAGATTCATATATGTATTCACACCATCTACATGTTTATTTAACCCCAGTAAATGTTTAATGTACTCAAATTGATCTATTTTTAGCCCCTACACGTTATGCCATCGATGTAAGTGAAGGTTCGATGCATCAGTAATGTATAATCATTACGTTAAAAAAATCGATTCCCGTTAAATAATTCCATTTATTTCGTATGCATTCTAACGTGTGAAACAATAAATGATAAATGACAGACAAATGACGCGACTAGCATTGCTCATAAGTGAGTCACTAACGATGAATCATTTTGATCGTTGGTTAATCGGCGACAACACTTCAAAGGGTGACTAAAGAGGTGCCACCAGGCACCTAGATGCTCTCACCAAGCACCTAGATGCTCTCACCAAGCACCTAGATGCTCTCACCAAGCACCTATAGTTTGTTCCTGGTCAAATTAAATGGGTTCACCTTATCTTTGCACTGGTTGCAGCATGGCTTCAATCCTCCCCACTGATGTATAGACCGTTAATTGACACTAATTAGAACATGAATGTTACCATAAAAATTATTGACACATCAGCACTTAATTTAAATTTAGAAATTTTGCGTTATTTGGAAAAAGTTTTTCATTCGCAGAAAAGGACATCATTGATCGCGTTTTTATGAAGCTCATGACTGCCCCAAGCCGTTAAAAACTGGAAGAATTTTAAGAACCATTCAATATAGAGAATATTGTGTTGCTGGCTGCACATCAACATTTGTTAGAACAATTCACAAGAGAATAATGTGTTGCTGGCTGTACATCAATATTTGTAAGAACCATTCACAATAGAATAATATGTTTCTGGCTGTACATCAACATTTCAACATTTCTTGACTTCTCATGACGTTCCATCGTTCAAAATTATAATTCCTCAGCATCATCATCTTCATGGAGATATATGAAGACATGAAAAGATCTTGTCATTTGTGCAGGATGTCATGAATGGTAATATATTCATCTTTGGAGTTACCAATAGAATTAGTAAATGTATAAATCATTGATTGTGATCACTTGATTAACTGAAGGTACCATACAGCAACGACCAGATATAAATTGTAACCATTACTTATAATCAAATTCATTTAATATTAAAATTTGAAATTATAGTACGAATGACGTTTTAAGGCTTGTAAATTTTACGCTGATCCGAAAATAAATTTGAAACCGTTGTTAATTCTTCGATTTCATTAATTCAATGCATCACATTTGAATACTCAAAGCAGAATTTATCATTATATATTATAATTATTTTTATTTATTATATAATTTATTATATACCATCTTAAATCAGAAAATAAGCGCCGCAATGCAGCCATCATGAGGTCGTCATAAGGAACAACATCTTAACCCAGAACACGCATCGAGATAAACCGTTTTTGAAGTAGTTGCATATATTTAGACGGAAACCTCTTCTTAATAATACGCACAGTTCTTATCCTCTGTAAATTGTAAAACAATAGATTTTTCGCTGCGTTGTCGTTTTCTCGCTAATTTGGTTTAATCTGTTAAGTTTATATTCAGTTTATCGCTGATTATTGCACTTGTATTCTATGGAAATTTTTGAACTGATGTTGGAACTGGTGGTCCAAAACATTTTTATTAAATTTATAGTGGTTTCACTTGGCATTTTCTTTGCTTTTAAATTCTTGGTGGACTTGCGATTTAATCAGAATAATGATTTATAAAGTAGAGTACCATAGAAATCCACAAAAGCATGTGATTTAATGTCATTCCCATTTCCGAAAATCAATAAATATCACCGGACTCTATCTTAGACACCCGTGGGAGGAAAATAAAAGATGATTTAATTTACTTCTCACACTTCTCAAGTTCATAGTCTGTTCTCTAAACACGCAGAAATGACAAAACATGCATCAGTCATTCTAATGGTCATGCGTGCCGATCGTGGTTTAAATAGTTAACACATTTGAAACATTTATATTCAAGGACGATAAACGAGATCAACAATCAATAATAATGTCAAATAACACAAATCTAAGTAAATAGACTAAGTTAATCTGAGCACAGCAGAAACGGAGTCGACGAGTATCAAAATATGTAATGGCTTCCAACACCCTTAGTTCCCTTCATAAAAATTAGTCATCTAATCTAATTAATTAATGAAATACAAACGAATTTATTATTTAGCACGTAGATTTCAGACTGGTAAATTTCAAGTGTAAATCAGGTTCATCCAATTGCAGGATCAGAGCATCATTGCTCGCAGTCACACGAAGCTTCAACTTTTCTGTTGGTAATTCAACAATAGAAAATAGTACCTATATCCTATTTATATAATATTGCGTCACGGTATTCAAGTTATTCAAGTTAGGTAGCACGCAATCTTTATTCCAGGAAAGCGGAGCATGAAGGGAGTAGTTGTAGAACTGGCCATTTAACAGCGCGTCCCACTAATTCAGCTGTGCGCAGTGCGCACTCACGCGGCAGTCACGCCCATCGTACGTGTGACGTGCCAATATTCTACAGTGACTAAGATTTTAGTTTCCACCTCTGATGATTTTGATTACGTTTTTTAGAATCCTTGTATATTTTCAAGAAGAGGTATAGTTTGAAAACAGCCTTTAGCTTTTGTCCACCTGAAATTTAGAATGGACAGGTTTTTCATGTTATTTTCATTGCCTTTTATCTGTATATTTAATTTCTAGCTTGTTGTTTTTTATTTCAATTGTACTGACGACTGATATTTTTTCTGGAAATTTCTAATTGACGATGGAGCTGAACTCCAAAACATTTTATTTAAAGATGTGGTAAATTATGGTGTAATTTTCTTTGCTTTTGAATGTCGAAATACTTCCTCCAAGGAGAATTAAAATCGGACAAAGGCTCATGTCACTCGCTTGATAGGAAATGAAAAATGGAATGAGATTTCCGTAACGTTTATGTCTCGTGATCTTCTATCACCATCTGTCCTGTGATCTTCTATCACCATCTAGGTTGCCATACGTCACCAGCTTAGCTTGTTCTGTACCCACAAGGTAGAGTCCCGCTCAGTCCCCTCAGGGGGGACTTCTCACGCGTGTCTGTGCTCGTCAGAAGTCCTATGGGATTTCGCGTTCCTAGGGGGATTGTTCCTGAGCGCCCCACCGCTGAGCTCGCGGTGTCTGACTGTAGGTCTCAGTTGTGGGGTTAAGTTATTATGTAGGTAGGATTCTGGTGGGTTGAAACAGCACACTGGTGGGTTGAAATAGCATACTGTTGGGTTGAAATAGCATACTGGTGGGTTGAAGAATGGTGGTTGAAACAGCACACTGGTGGGTTGAAGAATGGTGGGCTGAAGAATGGTGGGTTGAAACAGCACACTGGTGGGTTGAAATAGCCTACTGGTGGGTTGAAATAGCCAACTGGGAGGTTGAAATAGCACACTGGGGGTTTGAAGAATGGTGGGTTGAAACGGCCCACTGGTGGGTTGAAACAGCACACTGGTGGGTTGAAATAGCACACTGGTGGGTTGAAGAATAGTGGGTTGAAACAGCTCACTGGTGGGTTGAAAAATGGTGGGTTGAAACAGCTCACTGGTGGGTTGAAAAATGGTGGGTTGAAACAGCACACTAGTGGGTTGAAACGGCCAACTAGTGGGTTGAAATGGCCTGATGGTGGGTTGAAATAGCACAGTGGTGGGTTGAAATAGCCCTCTGGTGGGTTGAAATAGCCCACTGGTGGGTTGAATTAGCCAACTGGAAGGTTGAAATAGCACACTGGGGATTTGAAGAATGGTGGGTTGAAACGGC